CAGAGCAGTGTACAGCAGCAGAGTTAGTATTTCAGTGCACTCGCTCCCCATCTCAACATCATGCGACTCACTGCTCCTTTTTATTGATTGTGTCATCTAGACCCGGTTCACACTTGGAGCTGCTGCTCCTGACAATGGCACCCCAGGAATCACTAACAGTAATCTGGAGTTAGATCTATTAGAGTCTGTTTGCCTTTTCTTTTTAGACAGAGCATTCTGGATGCACACCTATAGCATGTGTATATGTGCATACATCTCCCCACTCACACACACACAAACATGTATGCAGACAGACAGACACAGCAGTGAATTTTAAAGGGAAGTTTGCCATCTGTTCAGATGGCTCCTTGTAGCATGCAGAGTAAGTGTTCTCTGTGCTACTGTTAGCCATTTACTTGATTCACTTGTGTTGTTCATTTACCTGGCATCTTTGCCTGCTCGCTTTCAGTTATCATACGTCCCACCAAGGTTAGTTCTTCATAGTAAAGACAAGCTGAGGAAGTGGTGTTTGGGTTCAGAGGTGATTTAGTTTTTGGCTTAGAGACGTAATTACATAGTCGATTAACTGATTAACCGATAAGCAAAAGCTTACTGGTTAAAAGTATAGACTACATGCATTCCTTCCCCCCACCCCCACCAGTAAATATTTTAGCTGCAGCTCTGCATTTAAAGTGTATTAGGTTAGTTCTGGTTCATGCCGGGGGTGGGGGAGGTGGGAGCTCAGCCCTCCCCCCAGACAGGGGCTGCAGCCCCCTGTCTGTATCAGAGGCAGCAGCACTGGACAATATGCAGCCAGTCCATGAGGGGAGCTGTTTTTAGAACTGGTTCCCCTCACAGACCAACTCCGACCTGGCACCTTTGATACAGAAGCAGCAGCATGGAGTGGCAGGGGCTTCCTCAGGAGTGGGGCCAGACAGCACCATCTCCTGGCCCCACTCTGGGGACTATAGAATAGTCAAGTAACCAATAAGAATTCATGAGGTTAATCGACTATTCAATTAACTGATATTTTACAACCCTGTTTTGGCTAAAGATCAGGTCTGATGCCAAATCAATGCTATGGTAGCAATTTGCTGGTACAGAAATACTATGAGCTGTTCTTGTGAGTTTTTTGCTCTAAATGGTAGAAATCCTGAAAAAAGCAGCAAATTTTATAAGCTTTCAGCCACATCTGAACAAGAAAATAGGTCTATTCTGGTGTGTGATATGAGCTGGCATTAAAAACGTGCAGGATGCAAACCCAAATCTCCCTGAAATTGAAGAAGATTCCAGTCCAAGGTTCCCACCCTGACTCATTACTAATTCCTAAAGTATCAACTAATTTGTATCTGAATGTTTGAGATATTCTGTTTCCAAAAAGCAGTTCCTTCTAAAACAGTATTCCTTCTGTTCTGAATTTGCATTCATGCACATCTGCAATAATTATTAGGGTTCTGCTTCATCACTTAACATTTCTGGTGCTGTGAAAAAAACCAGCCTCTAGGGTACTAAATCCACGCTGATAGTTCCTCACCGCATGGTTTGGAAAGCATGTTATGTTAAACAGGTGTAAAAATTGTAAAAAACAAAACAACTTTGCTGTGTCCTGTGGCTGCAATGTTAGGCATGTGTTTTCTGACTGTCTGTTGCCAAAGGGCATTTTTGAGAAACAGTTGCCAGTATGTGCTTGTTAAAGTGACATCAGAATAAAAGCACTGATTTACAACTTGTGTTACATAATTTTCAGGAGCCTCAGCTGTCAAAGGATAACATTGCATAAGAATTTGTTTTTCTCCTACGTTCTTAACTCTGTGTTTACCATCGCCCACCTCATCGCAGTAGTGCCTAATCCAGGACTGGTAAAAAGGGATCCTGTAAGTATTTATTTCCTTCTTTACAGCACATAGCTAAACAAATCCACTGTAAATGATAGCCTTTCAGTGCACTAGCTGACAAATACAGGACCAAATTCAGAGAAGCCTTCTGCAAGCAAATCTCCCATTGAGAGAATCTTCCTCAATAGGAATCTCAGAATGTATCATGAGGCGCATAAGTCTTTGACAGTAAAATAATCCTGTTAGCAACATGGACATGCTGGAATGTTGAGAGAGAATTTGCGCAACCTGTTGAGCTAGAGATCCAGG